CTTTCCCCCAAACCTCGATGAGGTCCACGATCTCCGCACTTGACCAGGCGGGCGCCCGCCTTTTGCGCCCCCGGGCAGGCTCCTGGGAGCTGCCAGGCTGGTCCCCTGGCAGGCTTGCACCTGGCACGGGCACCGTAGCCAGCCCGTGCCCCTTTAAAGGGTCCGGGGCCGGGAGGGGGGCATAGAGTTTCCCTGGTGTTGGCCAGAGTGGCCACCAGGGAAACCTGGGAAGCCTTAGCCTCCCACTAGTTCGAATTAAGGGTCTACACAGCCCTTAATTCGAACTAGCTAGTTCGAACTAGGCGTTAGTCCTCGTAAAATGAGGTTTACCTAGTTCGAACTAACTTAGTTCGAATTAAGTTCGAACTAACGGAGCGCTAGTGTAGTGCCTAGGAAAGTTAGTTCGAACTAACTTTTCAGTGTAGACATACCCTCAGTTCTATCGGATGCATTAAATCCAGACCCATGGATTTGTGTATGGTTAGCTTTTCTAAATAGTTCCTAACTCGTTCTTTCTCCACTAAGGGCTTTCCACCTCCTTCCCCTGCTGCGTTGTCTAGTCAGTGTATTAGTCTGGGAGCTGGTTTTGTCCGTGAAGACAGAGGCAAAGAAAGAATTGAGTACGTCAGATTTTCCCACATCATCTGTCACTAGGTTACCTCCCTCATTCAGTAGGGGCCCCACACCGTCTCTGATCACCTCTTCTTGCTAACATGCCTGTAGAAAACTTTCTTGTTACCCTTCACATCCCTTGCTAGCTACGATTCCAATTGCATTTTTGCCTTCCTGATAACTCCGTGGCATTCTTGAGCAATATATTTATACTCCTCCCTAGTTATCTGTCCAATTTTCCACTTCTTGTAAGTTTCCTTTTTGTGTTTAAGCTAACCAAGGATTTCCCCGGTAAGTCCATCCGGTACACGATAGCATTTTTCAAGTATTTAAAAGGGTGTCACAAGGAGGAGGGAGAAAAATTGTTCTCTGATGATAAGGACAAGAAGCAATGAGCTTATACTGCAGCAAGGGAAGTTTAGGTTGGACATTATGAAAAACTTCCTAATTGCCATGGCGGTTAAAGACTGAAATAAATTGCCTAGGGAGGTTGTGGAATCTCCATCACTGGAGATATTTAAGGGCAAGTTGGATAGACATCTATTTGGGATGGTCTAGACAGTGCTTGGTCCTGCCGTGAGGACTTGATGATCTCTGGAGGTCCCTTCCAGTTCTAGTGTTCTAGGATTCTATGAAATTGTTAAGTGGTTATATTAGGGAATCTCTAGGAAGAAATTAATGAAATTAGGCAGTCTGGCTTGCTGGAGATATATCACAGTGTAAAGCAGAGATGGTCAAAAGGGCCTCCGTGGGCTGAATCCGGCCCACCAAGCAGGTTGATCCGGTCTGTAGAGGCCCTGCTGCACCCCAGCCCCCAGGCCAATTTGGGCCTGGGGGTGGGGGAGCTATGCGAAGTTTCCTCCCCCCTGTGCTGCAAGGAGCGCACAGCACTTCAAAATGCCATATGCTCGTGCAGGGTAGGAACAAGGCGAGGGAAGCTTCATACTAGTGTTCTAGGATTCTATGAAATTGTTAAGTGGTTATATTAGGGAATCTCTAGGAAGAAATTAATGAAATTAGGCAGTCTGGCTTGCTGGAGATATATCACAGTGTAAAGCAGAGATGGTCAAAAGGGCCTCCGTGGGCTGAATCCGGCCCACCAAGCAGGTTGATCCGGTCTGTAGAGGCCCTGCTGCACCCCAGCCCCCAGGCCAATTTGGGCCTGGGGGTGGGGGAGCTATGCGAAGTTTCCTCCCCCCTGTGCTGCAAGGAGCGCACAGCACTTCAAAATGCCATATGCTCGTGCAGGGTAGGAACAAGGCGAGGGAAGCTTCATACAGCTCCCCCACTCCCAGGCCAATCAGGACTTGGGGACTGGGGAGTGCGTGACATCTCCTCCTGTCCTGCGAGTCGTGCGTGGTGCTTCAAAGCTCTGCGTGCTGGTCACAGGGTAGGAGGAAGCTACGCGCGCGCCCCCTCCCCCAGGCCAATCAGGACCTGGGGGCAGGCGAGCGTGTGACGTGCCCCATGCACTTTGAAGTGCCCTGTGCTCCTCGCAGGGCAGGGGTAGGGCAGGAGGAGGATTCGCATGCTTCCCCCACCCCTAGGCCAATCAGGGCCTGGGGGTGAGGGAGTGTGTGAAGCCTCTTCCTGCCCTCCCAGGGGCATGGGTGCCCAGTGGGAAGGGGGGACAAAGGGGCTGCCCCAACCCCAGACCAATTATGGTCTGGGGGTGGGGAAACCCAGAAGCATTCTGGTCCTGCCTCTTCTGGATTAGGCCCTGCCCCTTCCAGATTAGGCCCGGGGCCACTACACAGATTTTTCAAGTGGCCCTGGCCAAAAATTATTGCCCACCCCTAGTGTAAACCCAAGGAGTGGGGCCTTTTGAAGATACATTTTCTTTTTTGAATATGCTTTGTTGTGCAGGGGGTGGGCAATAACATGGTGTCGGTTCACCAGAATCAGCCCCTGGCAGACCCTCTGCTATATTTACCTCCACGGCCACATGTACCGGCGATTGCAGCTCCCGGTGGCCATAAATCATTGTTCCTGGACAATGGGAGCGGCAGGAAGTGGTGCAGATTAGGTTACTGCTACCTGCAGCTCCCCTTGGCTGGGAATGGCAATCTGCATGTAACCGGAGCTGTGATTGCTAGTACCGTGGCCATGCAGGTAAATATAGAGATGGGGGCCCACCAGGAGCAAACTCTGGCAGACTGAATCTGGCCTGCGAGCCGGTATTTGCTCACCCCTGTTGTAGTGCATACTTCAACATATCTCAAAACGTACGGGGAGTAATCACAGCAACAAGGATTAATAGGAGTTAAAATACCAATATGAATGAAGTGTAAAATGAATGGACTTAAAGGGCATTAACTTGAAATATAAGCAAAACCTAGCAAAACCTTAACTTTCCTTGGAATTTTTCTCTAAGGTTTTTCAGAAGGAACACAAGGTAGGGCCCAAAAGTGTTCTAGAGCTCAGCAGGACCACAGCCAACGTTTACAAAAAAAACTACTGAGGTCAGTAGACCTGGAAGGTCGGCTTAAGGTATGTAACTTTGATGTACCTTAAGCTGAGCTTGACACTGTCTCCACAGCTGAAGTCGACAGGAGTGTTTTCTCCCACTGACTTCCCTTACTCCTCATGAATTGTGGAGTACTGGCACCAACCAAGGACACCCTCAGTTTCTGATTTTACAGGTCCTTACTAAACCCACTAATTTGAACACCAGAAGGTCACTCTCCAACTCAGTAAGTCTAGATGTGGCCTAAGCAATTATTGTCTATACCCTAACTAAAGTAACCAAAATTACTATTTTATAATCAAATCTTCCAGCCAAATTCAGCCTTTGGTTTAAGTGAATGCAGCTCCATAATGTCAACTACTTATACAGTTCCAACTACTTATACAATGTTGAATGTGATTGTCTGAATAAAGTTAATAGAACATTTTCATGTGAATTTGCTATAACTATGGTGGAGAATGTCTACCAATTTCTAAATTTAGGGCTTTTTAAAATCTACACAGCTTTGACATAAATAAGAACAATTTTTTATTAAACTTTTCCCACTGTGGTACAGATATAAAAATCCACAGAATTTTGTGTCTTCCACACATGAAATGGCCACCAAAAACAACCACGACTTTAACAAGTACCTATATAATGGGTCAGATCATGCTCTGCCACAGCAAGACACTCTAGGAATGAATATTTCTGTAGTGTCCCCCAGCATTGCACTGAGGTAGGACAGTGTGTGGACTTTATGCTGAAGGACTACACACCTGCTCCAATTAAATAGGATTTCACATCATCACTCACAACTATGCTCTGGGTGGCCCATTCCCACAATGGCCTACTTAGTCAAACCCTTTTCAGTACAATTCCAGGGGACCAGAGGATGGATAGGACAGGGCTGTGAAGGAAGCTGAGCCCCACTTTCTTAAGGGATCCACACTCAAACGATCCCTTCCACGCACATATCTAGATAGCTTGATTTGGGCCTTTGATGTAAAGTTTTACATTTTTTCCTTCGTTGTCTTATTAAAAAGAGAAAAACAATGTTTAGAAAAATCTTCCATTTAAACTACAGCTTTGCTGACCCACTGAAAAGCAAGAGAGTTGTATTTTATTCTAAAGCATCATTTCTGTTATTTTGCACTACTATACAGACTGCTACTAACTATAAATATAAATCTTTTGATTGATCAAATTATGTCTTTGTTACAGATATTTGTCTAATCCTTCATTAATTAATAATACCAGCATTTAACGGTTGTATGACATACAGTATTTTAAAAGCTTACCTGTTGAAACCAAACCAAGTGCAAGGCCTCTACGTTTATCAAAATACTGACAGGTGATGGTTACCGTTGCAGTATATAATAAGCCACAGCCAAGCCCTAATAAATATAGGAAGTTTATTAACAAATAAGGCATCCTGTAAAATGTTATATAGTTTACCTTTTTAGAAACTTCAAGAACTTACTTGAACTTTGCTTGGCAACTTTCAGTTAAAAGATGCAGAACAGTATAATTAAGAAATACCGTTAAAAACTGAATGTGAAGATTCAACCCATAAATACAGTCTTATGTCTACATCAGAGGTGGGCAATAAGATGGAGTTGGCTCACCAGGGTTAGCCCCTGGAGGGCTTCCACTACTTATTTACCTGCACCTCTTCAGGTACAGGTGCTTGCAGCACCCACTGGCCACAAATCACCATTCCTGGCTAATGGGAGCTGCGGGAAGTGGTGCAGACTGATAGTAGGGATGTAAAATCCTGTGTAATTGGTTAACCTATTAAATATATTGTTTAACTGGTTGACCGATTAAGGGGAGGCAAGTGGGGGGCTGCTCTGGTCCAGGCCTCCCCTACCCCCACCAGCCAGAGCAGTCCCCACCTGTGGCCCAGAGCAGCCCCATAATGGGTGAGGCTTACTGTTTACTGGTGTTTCTCAAAGTGGTCCGCAAAACCACGTTGAGAAACCTGCTAACTGGCCGCAACGGTGTGTTTACTTACCAGCTCTGCGGCCATGGAGTCTTGCAGCTCCCATTGGCTCCGGTTCACTATTTGCAGAGAAGAGGAGCCACAGCCACTTCCTGCAGCTCCTCTTGACTGCAAATGGCAAATCGGAGCCAATGGAACCACAAGGCTCCGTCACTGCGGAGCCAGTAAATAAACACACTGGAGCAGCCAGTTAGCAGGTTTCTCAGCGTGGTTTCGCAGACCACTCTGAGAAATACTAGTTTAAATCATTCACATCCCTATACAGGACACCACTTTTCAAAGCTCCCATAGGTCAGGAATGGTGATCTGCAGCCATATCTGCAGAAGTACAGGTAAACATAGCAGCAGGTTAACCCTCAGGAATTGCATCCGGCCTGTGGGCCAGTATTTGCCCACCACTGGTTTACATTCTTGTTTCCCTCAAGTTACCTTTATTGTTTGTTTTTCCTTACATCAGAAAAATTCACATGTATCTTTCTATGCAGGTTTTAAAATAAACCAAAAAACCACCACCATGCTTCTGAATTGTAAAAACTTACTTTCAAAGCACAAGCAATACCTTTTAAAAAAATACATCAATTTGTTTGTTCTAGGTCTCCAGTCCCAACAAATAAAGAGCATAATTGATCTATGATATGTTTTCTTAGTCTATATCACAACTACCTTAATGTTGTACATCTATAGCCAGACTATCGTTTAAAAATGGCAGGAGTGACTTTAGACAAGTAAAAGGACACAAATAGGGAAATTTCAATGTTAATTTTCCTGTTTAAAGTCACATACTCTACCAATGACTACTGCTTTATTGTCTTCCTTCCAAATTGCTATGACTGATTTCACAAACTATCAAATTGCTAATGTGTCCTGGGTAGTTTCAGATTACAATACTAATCCAATCATGATCAAATAGGAATGCGTCTCTCCTTTGTTTTACTCTATATCAAATTATTTCAAACAGATTGGCTGGTTGCAAGCTGGCTGGAATACAGCTGTTTCATGTAACTGTCACTTTGAATTCAATTAGATAAAAAAATGCAATGATTTCTGGTTTGTTAACTAAAATTAATAAAATAATTATTCCTTCTACTTAGGGTTGCTAGGTGTCCGGTATTGAACCGGAGAGTCCATTATTTTCGCCTCCTGTCCAGTAAAAAATTCAGAAAATACCGGACACCTAAAATGTCCGGTACTTTCTAATTTTTTCCCATTCAGGAGACGAATATCCTGGGTTGTCCAGCTTAATATGGAGGGAGCCTGCTCAACAAACTTTTTCCTGGCGTGGTTTTTTTTTTTTTGGTTGTTCGGTATTTTTTCTGAAACCATCTGGCAACCCTACTTCTACTATGTAATTCTTTAAAAGCTTTAAGTCTTATGAGTTTACAGTTTCACAGCTCTGGGAGAAAACTTCAAATAGTTCTCTAGGCCTTGATAACTAAGGTCTCCAGTCCCAACAACTACAACTGCAAATGTGCAACAGACCCCTAGGCCCACTCATAGCCCCAAAAGTAAGACCTGCATGTGTATTTGCCAAATCTGGTCCTTATTCTGAAAATAACAACCTTTATACAAATTCAACACTTAGTTTCAGAATGATTAAATTAGTCTAATATGAACAACAAATTAGTCTAATATAAACAAAGATCTTACCAACTACAATGCCATATGAAAAAACCAGAAAATAGATATTTGGTGCAAAACTGCTCAGCACCAGGCCACCAGCCACTATAAAGCCACTGAAGATTGTCACAGGTCTTGCTCCAAAAGAAGATACACATGCACTACAGATAGGACCTATAGGAACGGGGAAGAAGAGAATAAAGAAAATAACTTTTACATATCTATCCCAGTAAACAAGAATTCAAAGTTTTCTGTCACAGTAACATCTCTGGTGTAGTTCTTAAAAACTATTCAGAATCCTCAATGATACTATAGTCTTCAATACAGTACATCTTGGACTACTGTATAATGTCACAACACACTTGCATGTATTATGCAGTCTAAAGTTCCATTCACAGTCACAAATACTACAAGGAAAATGTTTTTAGAAAAGCCTAGTACTATAACATTTAAAAATTGCAAGATTTTTTTATTTTTGAAGTCATGTTGGTCCCAGCATATTAGAGAGTAATCTCTTTTAATAGAACAACTTTTGGTTGTGAAAGAGACAGAGTTCTTCTTCAGCCTGTCTCTTTTACTGAACAGTGTCTGTTGGTAAAAGGTATTATTTCACCCACCTTGTCCCTTTATTATTAATTTTTCCTTACGTTCATGGCAACAGTGCCATCTGGTGCTTACAGAAAGAAAACATCTACTCTGTATTACCTTTCCCCCAAAATCTTTTGGGAAATGAAAGCTTGACTACAAATAGACTATTTTGATAGAGATAATTAAAAAAAATCTTTTCTGGTGTTTATTTTAAAACTGGCATGCTATGAGAGATTTAGCATCCACCATAGCTACCAAGGAAGCACTTTAGCTGAAACAGTGGTCATGAAAATCTGTATTAGAGGCAGAAGCATGGAGGTAGCAGCCAGCTTGCCAGGAGTGGGGCTGCAGGTTGGAGCCAATGCGCATCATGCTTAAAAACTGGCTCCCGTGGAGCCGCAGCACAGGGAGGCAGACAGGTGCCAGCTGCAGGTGCGAGTAACCGCTGAAAAACCTCAGCAGTTACACGATTACCCACACTTCAACACCTCCATTTTCCACACTTCTCCCTCACCTTTTCGCAGAGGAGGAGGCTACTGAACAGAGCCTATATTTTTAAATGTGAGGCAGGGACTGGCACAATTCAGGGAAATTGCACCCTTCATTCCCCATTTTAGTCCAGCAAGAGCAGCCACTCAAGGCTCCTGGTTTCTCTACTTTCGTGGGTAGAGACTGTATCTCTCCCTAGCCAGGGTTTTTCCAGGCTGCAGCTC